TGTTCTTCTTTTACACATGATGTAACGACACGAGTATACGTTGCACGGCATATCCGTATCCGATAATATATACCCTACCAAGGGTTATTACACGACGCTTTTCATATTCTCGACATTCGAGTAAGATGACATGAACGTCACGAGTATGATGGATTACACGCGAAATGTAGCAACAATATATGCACTAAGCTTCTCGTGTCATTTAACGTTACACATTGCTCTTTAAAAAATAAGTTGCGAACCAAGTGAGATCTTAGAGATAAACCTGCAGCAATATCTTGACGAATAATACACGAGTCATAATTACACGGACACATTGAGTCACGATTAATGATCAAACACGAGAGATAAATATGTTACACGACTGTCGAGAGAAAAATACGTCAGCTGATGCAAATGTTCTCTTTCGTGGAAGTCATGGGGCGAAGTAACGCACAACGCTACTTCGAAATCGCAATTATTCCCTTCCTGTACACGCACGTTTAAAATTTCAAATGTATGTAAGCTGTCAATCATCGACGTATCATCATGGGACCTCGTTATCTATTCTAAGGGGGACGCTTAGAACGAACGGATGAGAAGAGCTTTGGAAAGTGGGCTTTGGGAAACCGACGGCCTGTGACTGGAATACGACGCACATACGCACACAATGGCGCGTGCGAGCATTATCTGTGGTAAATGAACACCCATAACGCGCGTGAATGCTACGAGCGTGCGCGGAGGAGAAGGACATCTCAATGGCCGTTATTCCATTATTCAACGGTCACTTGACCCTTTCGGAGCGTTAAAGAGCGATCGAGTGTTTCCAATTATTCGCGAAACTGCGTGGCGAGACGCCGCGCGTGGATTTTTTACTCCTCCCCTCCGGCTTAACATCGATCGCGATTTAACGACGCGGATTCGGCGCGGATGGGAATTTTGCGCTACCGGCATTTAAGCTGCTTCCTCTCCCCCCCCCCCTCCTCTCTCGCTCCATATCCACCCGCGTCAATGTTATTTTATCGTGCGGGACGGATGTCGCGAATTTTACGGGGCATTTGTAAATTCTATAAAAAGGAAAATGCCGCTCTGATAGCGGCGTAGTCATAACACACGCGCCGGCGGGCGGCCCCGCCTAATCGATATCTCTGTTGCATCTGTCGAATTTACCCTTCCCACAGGTTGAACGCACCATAATTCCACTTCGCGATCCAGCTACGAGGCTTTTATGCCACCCTCCTCCCGCACGCACCCCTGCGCCGCCGCCCCATCCTATTGCCGGTCGTCAAACAATACTGAAGCATATTGCCGCGTATTATACGAATTATTACGCTGCGCGGCATTAAACGCATCGGCCTTGAACAAATATAATAAATATATCGGCCGTTCGTCGGCGCGCACGTCCGCCGGGGCGTACACCACGCAGCAGTAGCGGCAGCGCGCGCGATCTATGTAAGTACTATTAGTGCGCGAGCCTTATGGCACTGACGGTGTTTCTGCTCGCGCTACATTTCGCGATCGCATCGGCATGAGTGCACACGCGCTGACGTATATGTATCTAGGTCGAAAGATATCAGTCTGCGATCTGGGGGAGGGAGAGGGAGGGCAGCCGTTAATGTTGCACTACCACTCTGGCTAATGTACGAGCCGATCGAGGTCAGATGCTTATTCTCGGATCAATTACGAAAACGGTGGAAGCATTTTCGAGATTCGACGCTGGTTAATGGTTTATTAAAGCGCGAAGTTTGCTTTAATGCGGAATACGTGGGGCGGCACGCCAGCGTCGGTTAAAAATATAGTCGTTACGTGCGAGTCAGAGCGAAAGGTCAGTGGTTTCGCACCCTCCTACGGTTTACTCTTTAATATATAGTTAAGTATACAGACTAGCTGCTCCTCTTTCTCTCTCCCTCTCGCAGCACCGCGATAGAATTCAAAATTTCTCGCAATAATTTCAAATCTGCATTGAAAACGCGTAAACGGGCGGACAGATGTGCGCGCAACGGAAATTCTATGGAGGTAAACTCTAGCGAGATAATATCCGCGCGCGTATAGAGGCGGTTACGGGGTTTCGGCTCGTCGCGTTGTAACCGCGGATTAATTTATGCAACTCGACTTGAGTCGCTAGTTACCTTCCCCGCCAAAGCCCTACGAGAGACTTTCCTTCGAAGAAATATGTAAACGCGACCGCAGCTTCGTATACATTTCACGGGGACGCGCGAGCGGCTTTGTAAGACGATGCATCGCATTTGTAACCTTCCCTGCGCGCCTCATCCTGGGAGATACCGAAAGGGTTGAACCACACAATAGCATTTTGCCCGCCCCTGATCGTCGTCGTCGTCGTCGTCGTCGTCGTCGTCGTTGTTGTTGTCGGCACACATCGACCCGACCCGAAAAATTTGCAACGCGCCTGGCCGCGGGGTTTTGCTCGCTTTATTTCTCCGGGCTCTATCTCCTTCGGGATATCCCCTTTTACGGTACACATCGGCGGGAAGCGAGCTATCGATTTGTTGGCAATGGTGTAAGCTTCAAAGCCAATTCGTCAGGCGGGTCTCAAGACGGGGCGACCACGCGACGACGGCGTCGGCGGCGTCGGTGGCGTCGGCACGAATTCGCGACGTTAACCCAGATCGTGGTCCTTGGAGATGGTCCAGCCGGCCGGGTCGCCGTTGCCAGGATACCCGGAGCCGGACTCTGCCGAGAGAGATCGCCGCGGAAAATACGCGTCGAATGCTTTTTGCGCCTCACAGCCCGGAACGGGATTCCAGACAGCCAGTAGCCGCTGTTTCACGCAAAAGAGATCGCCGAGAGTTTTCCAGCATTGTAAAAGGATCAAACGACACCATCGCTGTCGCTCGTGACGCAAATGACGCGAATGACAAAAGAAAATGGAAGCCTAATGAGACAAATTTACGACCGATCATATTTAAGATTAATTCAACTCTGTTAGTCTATATTTTTAGAAGGTTCGTGGAGCGACATTCTCCATTCATTTGTATTGTCTTGAATTTAAAAAAATTGAAATAAAAAAAATTTTAATAAAAAAAATTGAAATAAAAAATTGAAATAAAAAATTGAAATAAAAATTTTAATAAAAAAAATTGAAATAAAAAAAATTTTCCTGAATAATAGAAGAATCGAAGGAGAACTAAGATATCTCGCTGATATCTCCTTCGTACGACAATAAAATAAAAATATTTTTTTTAGCGGATGTTTGAACTCAGTTCTGTGTATATTTCTGCACGCACGCTACGTATTATTCGACAAAGCTACTTCTTCTATTACGTTTCAAGGGAAACTTCGTTAAAATACTTTGGCGTGAATCGTATGCTTTCGGCTGTTCCTGCTCTTTCGTACTCAAAGGACAGGCTGCAATTGTTAAATTGCAACGTAGTGGAGGCAAATTTCATTGCATCTCGCGCGCGTTATTGTGTGGCAAAGTGCACTTGAGAAATTTCCGCCGAGAATTGAGATTTTCCGTACTGTTTCGCGTTTTAGCCTTTTCTCTATTGTACGCGCGCAAACATTTCCACAAGAGGAAAATGTTTATAGAGTAAATATGAAGTATCGCGTGCAATCGCGCGCAATGTAGCTCCTAGAAACGGTAAGTCCGAAAGGGCACTTGTCGTCGTTCCGCTACAAAATTCTCTATTTATACTTACTTCTTGTTAATGAAAATTAATTCGTTCCCGAACGAGGGACATCACACAAAACGTATATAAAAAATATATGGAACAAAGTATCACGACGCAAAGATTCCAGTACGTTCTCACAGGACGGAGACTCTTCTATAAGTACGTTAAGTATGTTAACGAAAATTTACTCGATATCACGAGAGAGGAGAATTTTCTTTCAAACAATTTTCTCCCGTCGCCTGCAAATTTGGGTCGCGCGTCTTCGGCATTAAATTCTTTCGCGCGACTGCCACTTACGCGTTTACTGGTGTGCGCACATGCAACGTTCGGGAGCGAAGGGGCGATGAAAGACGCACTTTGTACTTAAGGGAAGGTACGTATCGAGTAAATGAGATATAAATTTCCTCCGCCAGCGTTCGTCGATCATTTATTCGACGGTGCTCGATCGCGTCGCGGATGGAGGAGCACGACGCGGGAGCCAGGGGCGACGTGTACACTTAAATAAAGGGTCGGCTACGTCGCTCGTGGACGTCCTAAATAGATGGGCAATGGGTTCTTGAATTATGACCGTCCGTATCGGGTTGGTCTAATGCAATTATCCCTTTTAGAGTATATTGGCTCCATTTGTGTATTAAAATTGAGCGCTGCAGTGTGCGCACTCGCATCCTATCGCGTCCGATTAAATGGACTTTAATTTGAGTAAGAGGCGAACGAAAGAATCCGGAGATTGGGCGCAACTATGTCGCAAATTCAATGGCCGTTATTTTTAAATGCACGAGTGTGTAATTTGATTAAAGCTCTTCTTACATGTTCCCTGCGATTTTAAGTCACGTCATTTAACAGGTTTAAAAGTGTAAATTATGATCTAATAGTTTAAACGCGTGCGCGTGTCGAACAACGTCACTTGAAACGGTAAGAAACATGCAAAAAGAGATTCTGCTGGAATAACACACTTGAATTTGCAGTGTACCAAGCACGAGTGGTTGCCTTGTTTTTGTGCGAAATAGTTGGCAATAAAATTTATCTGACCGATGTAAAACGGAGAGGAAAGCAAAAGGGGAGGGGGGAGATTGAAATCGGTATAATCGCTTGATAGCAGATACAGAAAAAAGACCGCAAAATAACGAAAACGAATTGTGGATATGTAGAACATCGAGAATTGTCTGTCGGTGCTGCATCGCAGCTAGTGACGTCGAAGGGATGAAAAAAACCTGCGTTTCGCAGTGCCCGCGGCATCGCATTGCAAACGAGAAAACATGTTCGTCGCTAACGTACACAGGGAAATCCAATTATGACAGAAAAGCATTTAGAAAATAACCCCACCGCGAAACGCAGCTTCTCATCTTTACTGTACTCCTACACGGTGTTTGTGCAATATATTTCACATACCCGGCTACTTCGTCTGGCTGCGCTCCTAAGGACACGGTGATTCCGAGACAGATCTTGTTTTATCTCCACGCCCACAGCCAAATGATTCTGAAAAATAATATTTCAAGAGAGTTGTACACTTCAATGCACGTAAGATTCAAATATTGAATATGTTCCAAGGAAATCTTGAGACCACGTTGCGAGCGCCAAATGTAATAATTAATGCATATTCATAAATGTTTTCGTAATAAAAATTTATTAAAAATTAATGACTACACATACACACACACAAATTTCCACTCCAACGCATGTATAAAAGAACATTTAAGAAAAATCATTTTCAAAATAAAAAAAATAAGATTTAAAAAATCTAATTAAAAAAAAAATCATTTTCTTTTCGGTTAAATGAAAATGTATATTTCAAGTATTTTATCAGTATATCACGAAATCAATTTTTGTTAGTCTCCGCAAAATCCTTGAAGAATCAAGCACTCGCACAGTGTTTTTTCAAGACTCAATATTTCAACATTCAACGCATTCAAAAATACGTTCCGATGCGCGTTATTTAATATATACATAGAAAAATATTTGCAGGGAAAGTATCCGCGACACAACTGCAGTACCCCAAGCTGTTTCCTGGCACGATCGGAAATCGCGTGTTAGCGGCTTTCGCGGCATATCGAAAACCGCGCGTGTTCCACCGCGCGTATCGTGCAGGGAAAACCGGGATACGCGGAAAACCTTCGGCGTGGATTTACGTGAGTTTTTCGTGCGGTATAGCTATCGATAAGCGCACGGCGAGGATACGCGAGGAGATGCTTTTGTACAGTTCGTCCGGCCGCAGACAGTAAAGATAGCGGCTTTAGTAGCCAGGTCTGGGGAGAAGCTCGCTCGCGGCACAAATTCGAGGACTCCGGTAATTCCGCGATACGAGCGGCAACGAGGGTAACGAGCTTCCCGCCAGATTATCTGGCCGACGGCGAGGGCAGAGGATTGTGTTGGCAACGTGTATCCTTCCTACGCTAGCCGGGGCGCGTCGCGGAAAATATCGATCCCCGGCTCTCTCCGTACTTTCTCTTTCTCTCTTTCATTCTCTCTCTCTCTTTCCTCTCTCTCCCCCCCCCCCTCTCTCTCTTCGTGCGGCGTTTAACAAGCGCATTACGTTAGCCCCTTTTAAAAGATCGCACTTCTAACTTCAATGGGCCGTATAATCGGATTAGGATCGACACAATGCGCCTGTGCCACGAATGTGTAACGTTCCGCGTCGATTCCATCTGCTGGGATTCGACCGGGATACACACCCGGTGCATATGTCCGGCATATAGGCCGACGTATCACTGTGCTTCACGTTGTCTTCGACAGCAAGATGTCGACATGCGAGAAAACACGAGAGTGAGTCACGAGTCGCGGACCAGCGACGTGCTAGGAATAAAATTAAAATTCGCCAAGTTTCACGAAGAGAAGATTCAGTAGATTCGCGAAGATATTTAATCATTTATGAAATGATGACTCACTATGAATGCTGAATTAAATTTCGCCTCGAACATCTCAATATTTCTCAATAAATTTGTCAAATATATACAGTAAAAAATTCCACGCACCTGGAAATACACGATATATCGCGCTCGACGTCCCAGCGTCGTGCATCCTCCGTCCTGACTCCCCCATTTATCATCCTGGCTCTTGGTTGCTCCGGATACTCACTCGTAGCACTGACACTAGCACTGACATTCGCATATAGATACAGTGACTCAAACGGAGAAACGCGTGTCAATTAATGCGCGGTGCTGACGAGAGTCCAATTGGATATTTCAAAACCGACGAGATATTTTAATCAGCCGACATAAACGTAACAAAGGCACCGGTAGACGTGCTCGCGGTAGACGTGCGCGTCGCTCACCAACTCGAAATATTATGACTAGGTCATGAAAAAAACGCAACGTGTACATATACCCAAACAAAGCAAAAAGGGCTACGACATTACGCGTCAAACGTCAATCCCCCTTCGGAGCAACCGAGAGAAAACAACAATCAACTCTTTCAAAACATTGCGGACCTTGAAGGCGATTAAACCTATTCACGAACGTCGCGTGCTTTCCCGAGTGTTTTTCCATTGTGTTTCGAGACGGTGAGTGAGACAGGCACGTAGCAGAGCACGTGTACCGGTGCGTTAATTATCATTCCGTTCGAATAATTAAAATACTTCATCGGCTATTATAATATTTAATCGGGCTCTCGTCGCATCGCTTTAATTAACACGTGCTTTTCCGATTAAATTTACGCGTGTTTAGTGCCACAGAGAGTATCTGATGTATCACGACGGAACAGTCGGCAGGCAGGATGTCAGATCGTGAAGCTAGCAGGAAGGATATGTAGGACGAGATACGTCGCACATTTTCAGATATGTGAAGTTATCTTTCATTCAGAATTTACGATGTAAATTGACGTTGGACGAATTTGTCGAGAAAAAGAGACACCCGAATCGAAATTTAGACCGGCATTAATAACGCATTATCGCTTGACAAATAATTACAGTTTCATGAACCTCCGATTATTCGTGAATCTATATCTTTATTGCAAACAACAAGAAATATTGATTCAAACGGCCAAATAACAATTAATGAATACGCGAATATATAATAAATCATGCTCTTAATCAAACATAAAGATCAAATGCAGATGGGATATTGAAACAAGTAAATATTAAATAATTCTAAAATAAGTCTTTAAAATTCTACGTAGAAGAAACGACAGTAACAAATAAGACAATAGCTTTTATAGTATTATGTCACGAGATTCTCCATGGTGAACATTCGGATGAATTTTCAGGGTTAAAGTAGAACCAAAATTTCGAGTCGGGCAGGCAGATTTTCACATCATTCGATGATAAAACGTGACACACGAGATAACACAACGTTGAAGCGTGACAGTTATTGTACGTTTTTATCAAAATATTGATTCAGATTTACGACCTTCTCTTTCACATGGATAGTATAATACAATCTACACAATTACACTAGAACATTCGCGTTACGAAATTGTTTGTTTCTGACGATAGATTTATTACCATTTATCGCCTCGCTCCTCCCACTCTCATGAACTTACGATAAGCAAGCTAAAATCGGGAACACCGAAATGAAGACATACAGTGTAGTAACGATAATTAACATTAAATTTCAATGTGCGATCCTCGTCGTGGTAAATAGATGGAAAATTAGTGGGCATCTTCTCCACGATTATACGCAAAATTAATTCGTCGGGTTGAATATTCCGCGACGTCACGAGAGATCGCGAACGATACGTCAATGTCAATTCGACTGGCGTATCTGAATGGGGCGTTAATTATCAGTTGCACTCGGCACGCTTCTCAGAACCATACATCAGCATCGGGCCTTTGGCGTGTCCCGGGCGAACGCACATATTACTTGGTAACGATAATATTTACTAATTCAGGCCGCGCAAAGTCGTCTGGGTATCGCGAGCATATTAAGTTAACGATAAACAGCTAGTTATGTCGAGTAAAATATACACGCGACGAACGTTTCGACATTATCAGCACCACAGAGTATCCAGTAACGATTAGTCTTCTATAAATGCTGTTATCTTGTTGCGTAATCACAAATTTATTCCACGAAGAGACGAGGAATCGTAAGATGTTTGATATACACATATGATAAAATACAATCCAACAAAGATCTCGACGAAGAAAGTCGACTTTCAATTAATCACAAAATTTCGCTACGTGTAGCACTACGTGCGCAAATTTTGTAATAACACATATACATTAAGGACACGTTCTCTCCTTACTGTATTATTCAATAATGTAAACTATGATACACACGTAGTTGTCTCCAAAAAGAGAGAACTTGTCCACTGCTACAAGTTGCTGCACATCCCGCTTATTTAGTTTTCTCGACATGGCTCTCCTTCTCTTTCTCTCTTTGACTCTCTTGTTCTCCCCCAAAGGTGTAAAATTCAATATAGAACTCAGGCGATTCTTCTTGAGAAAAATGCAGGTTTGTGGTTATTCAAAATAAAAGAAACAGACGAACATGTTTTTAGCAGGCCGCGGTCTTGCGTGAACTTCTTGCGATCTAAATTATTCGGCGGTAGTTCCTATTAAGCGGCACAGCGCATCTTATCCCGTCGGACTCTCTCCCGAACACTCTCTTTTTATCCCAAGAATTACCATAATCCGCCAACCTAACAGCGTAATTTTTCCGTTTATACATTTATGTAAAGCCTCGCGTAAAGCAGCGGTTTTTAATCCACGGGTAGCCGCGGAAACACAGAGCGCGTGTGGTTTGTCGCAGCCATGTCACGACTTAGATGGCCAACGCGCTAAATAAGTGAAACACCTTTCGCGTCCGGCAGAAAATTCTGCGGCCAACGGCAGACGGATTTGCGAGTTCGCCTCTTGGTTCCAGGTAACCTAGCTTCGTAACCCGACTCGAGATCGGCGGTTCGTCAATCAGTAAGTTACGAGCGACGTCCGGGGTTTACGGGCTCTCATACGTCTCCTTCGTCTTATCGGTGAGCACGAAGCGGACGAGAAATAAATCCGTCCGTCCTCTCTCTCTCCTTCTTCCTGCCTCCTCTTTACCTCCCACAACTCCTTCCAGACCAAACTTCTACCTTCCGGCCGTCGCGAAGTGTTTATGTTCTCGAGAGGAATGAATGAAAGAGAGAGAGAGAGAGAGAGAGAGAGAGAGAGAGAGAGAGAGAAGTGAGAAAGAGAAGGCGAAATGAGGTGGGCGCGAGAAGAACCGAGAGGCGAGGCGTGGACACAATGCCGCCCTTTTACGGCAAGAAGCAGTCACCGACAGCGTTTGAAAGTTTCTCCCCTTGGAAAAATATCACCTTCCTTGCTCGGGGGACCAAATAAATGTAACTCCGTTACCGCGCGCGCTTGTCGCACCTCGGCCTTTCCTCGAGAAAGTCGGGCTCGATTTCCTTTCATCTGTCGCTTCCTCGCGGGACTCTCGCGGAAGAGATTACACTCGACCTTCACTTATCCTAACGGGATCGCGACGGGCTTCTTCGGAATTTTAATGACGATTGCAACTCGACACGTATGGGTGCGCCCGCGTCTGTTAAGTCGCCAGATGAACAATGGTTTTGAAAGCGAAGGAGTAAATATATATCTCTCACAGTTAACACTACTCGCGATACCAACAATGAATTGATTAATATGTTCGAGGTATTATTCGCGTGCACTACGGTCGAAGAAGCTTCGCTTCCAACAAATCGTACCGCGAAGTCCGATCGGTGAAACAATTTGTCGACCTCTTAGCAACGCGCCAATGGAACGTTATCATAACTGCGGGGTTACGATTTATTTTCTAGCTTATGGCAGTATTCCGGCAGAAAATGACGTCGTTAGTAACAACATGCATGTACATATATCTTTGTGCTTTCACGATGGACACGATACATGTAACAACATGAAGAGATGTGGGATTTGTTTTACGAGTTGGTTATTTAATTAGTCGGAGGCAAATATGACTAGTTTTCATCTTATGAATTCGAGTTAAATTCGGATTTCTTTTTCTTTCTTTACAGCGAAACTGTCGAGTTTCTGGTAGTATTTTCATTACAGATAATTTAGGCAAATATTGTTGTACAAGATGAGCTGGCTAACATCAGATTCTACAATATATCTGTTGTTACGTTAAGAGATAAATATATAAGAAAAAATTGTGATTATACGGGATAAAAATACATCGTATATGCAACCGAAATCTTCTCAAAATTCCAAAAATCCACACACAAATTCCTGCTTATTTTCTACAAATTTTTCTCTAATATAAACAACAACAGAGATATTTTAGAATCTAAATGAGTCTCACTCTCGCGGACCGCGATTAAATTACCGCGTATTCAGCATAATTCCTAGTCCATGACATATTTTTACCAGTACCTGAAGTTACAACGATATCGATATCAGTATAAATCTTTGCTAACGATTGAACAGTAATCGGGCTTATTTCGCGGCAAATACACCGGCATCAAAGAGATTCCCCCTTTGAAACGGGCATCCGCCTCTTTATTTCCAACTCGCTTCCTCTCTCGTTCTCTTTCCTTCCTCGCGTATTTACCTCTGCTGCGTTAACGAGTTTCGCGTACTTTCATGCGAAGCCTCCGGGCGCTTTTCATATCCCGGCGCGGTCGGCGTACAGCATCAAAAAACACCGGAACGCTGGTCCGTCCTTTCTTCTCTGGCATTCGAGCGGCCTTTTATTCCGCCGGGCCGAGGACGAGGACGAGGACGTTACCGGGCTGTCGTCTTCCAGGCTGTTGCCTCCCGCGATACGGTCTCTTCGAGGCGTCGTGCATCGGCGCAACCTCCTTTCCGACGTTGCACCGAGAAACCCCTCCGCTCTCCTCGCTTTCCCTGATCCTCCCTTGTTCTCCCTCGTCCTCGATGTCCCGTTTTATCCACCCCCGTTCGTTATCTGTCTCGCTTTAGCTCTCGGATGAGCGGCGACGACGGGCGCCGTCCTCGTCGGTAGAACGCGAAACCCTTTCGAGAGACGGCGCCCGCCTGGCTGCCTGCCTTTCAGGCGCCGGCGAACCTGCACCAACACAGCTCGCGAACGCACGTATATGCAGCGCAAACACCAAACATAGTACAGCACGAGCAAACGAGAGAAAAGGAAGCGCAGCTGGAAATAGAGAAAGCGAGAGAAGCGAAATGCGGAGATGGGGAGGATCGGGTTCATCATACGTTTTCTCGCTCTCGTCGTCGCGACCTTTCGCCTCTCTCCACGCAAGAGCTCCTCGCTCTTGTCTCGGATCATAGTCTCTCGGTGCTATCAATGGTCGATGGCCGAATTACAGTCGGCACGATAGCGTGACTTGACTGGAGCGCGCGCACCTGTTGGCAGCTTAATCGTATAAGCGGTTCAAGCGGGATGCGATTGATCGACGGAACAATTGCCGCGACGGATGCGCCCGCTGCTTGCGTTTGTCATGGGACAATTATCCGCTGTTAATGCAAGTCGCTCGCGGACACAGCATTTCAGATGGAAAAATATAAACGCGCCCCTTGCGTTCTCGAAGAGGTATAAAGCTGCAACGCGAGTGTCAAATGAGGCATCGTTGCAATGCGCGGGGATATAAGAGCGCATTTTGCTACGTTTCCGGCAGAATCCGAATTTTCCGCGGGATAAAACTGCGGCCAGCTGTGCCACTCCCCCTCCCCCCTTTCGCGAAAGCTACTATTTCATCCACTTTCCTTCCAGTCGCCTCCCCGTAGACTGATATCCAAAATGATAAATTGCGAACATTTATTTCGACTATGCCGCATGTCCTTTCGTATATTCTTACTTCTTTCTCCGTTTCTCGAGAGAAGCTTTTACTTTTTTCCTCATAATAGAACTTCGTCATATGATGCTAATTACATTTAAAACGATTCCGTGTCGTGAAAAGTATGGATAAGCACTTTCTGTATTAAATTTTAATTTTTGTCTTCAATGCGCGCAAATTGAAAAATAATAGGACTTTATACGAGACGCAAAAATACTCGGAGAAAGAAGATCGACGATCTGCGAAGCAGTCATTTGATTCAGACTAGAATAGAAGAAAGTCTATTCGCAATTTCATACATTATGGTTTCTCTTATCATCCGAATCGGATTTCTGAATCGCAGACTAGCGATTTTATTCCTACGTAGATATCTTCGAACACCTATCTGTGTGAAACTAAAACATTTGATTCAAAAGCTACTTTCTTATCCCTTGGATAGGAGAGTCCTTTCAACCTCTATTTTCTCTATCAAGACCTTTCTCATACGTATATCTTGCGGCTCGTATTGCCAACTTATTTCAACGCGAATAATCAGCCGCGTATTGAAATATACGAGGATGACTGAATCTCAATGTGGTCTCGCATACGTTTCAACCTATAGCGGAGGCCGATCGATATAATCGGTGACTCGACGAAACGAAATATATCCGTTTACTTGTCGAGACCAGTCCAACGTCGCGACCCCTCGGCGAAAGATCGTGGAATAAATATTTAATTTAGTTGAGCGAGCCGCGCTCTTGAAGAGAAGAAGAAGAACAGCGCATCGCTTATCCCTCATAAATTTATTTCTCGCATCTCCCACCTCCTCCCCCTGCCTCTTACTCCTACAGCGAGCTCTCCGCGCCATTTCTTTTTTCTTTATGCACCGAGAAAGATTTAAGTGTTTAATAACCAGCTCGCTTAGAGACGGAAGATACAAACGTTTAAGGCATCATTTAACCTAGAATCTCGGTCATCCTTACATTTTTTCCCTCTGTCTCTTCTACTCATCTACTCTCTCGGCTAACTACACTTTCGACTTACCTATTCTCTCGTCCCTGAATCGCCTGAATGGTCCTGACGTTTGCGAGGATCGACGATCTGGTGACGAACGTTTATTAATCCCTGTCGCTGCAACGCCCTGTAACAGAAGATTAAACGAGACGAATTAGAAAGTGACGGAAACATGGCCAGATAATTGGTCTACATGGAATTTAACAATTGTACATGAAATTTTTATTTTCGTTTTTCAAGTCATTTTTCTAAAATATTGAAACGAGGGGATATTATCAAACGACTGTCGGTTTTACAAATCGCTGACAAAATGTTATTGACGCTCAGATGTTCTATTAAAAAACGGCGATGACTTATTACAGCGAGGAATACCCGTCGTTATGAAAAACGCCGAGTGAAACGGGATCCACTTTCGGCGCTTGCTGAGCCGTCAGGAGAGCATTGAACGAAGGGCTTCTCTGAGGTGGCTTTAAGACGGTAAAATTTTAGCGGCGCGTTTTAACAGGCGCGCGCAAAAATTGCGATCTATCATGTTAGCGGACGCTTCGCTAGTGAATCGTAAACAATGCCAGCTATGCAAATATTAAAGTCGCGGACAACATTTGAATCACTTTTGCATACAACTCTTCACGCGACGGCACAATCGAGGAAGATTGATCGATGACCCGCTCCCTCGCATCAAAAAATCCCTCACAAAGCTTTCTCTCTCTCGTCGCGACCCCACAATCTTTCCCCGAGAATTTAATAAAAACCCACTCGCGCGCGCGCTCGGTTTTCGACTTAAACGCATCAATCGTGCTTTAACGAGCACAGGACTTTCTCGATCCGCCGGACGATCGATCAAAACCGCGAGCATGACGAGGAACAGAGAGTGCGAGCGTCACCACCGACTTCACGGCGGGAAAAGACGACGCGAGAACATCTCCTGTCCACGATTGTATCCACTTCGCTGTAAACAGCTCTCTGACAAATGATAAACAAGCGTGTCGACCGGCTGCATCTCTTCGTCTCTCGCGTGTGGTTCGTTCGTTGTCGGACACGAGTACATTTTCTCGCGTCACGAAAGACGCGAGGGTCTAACCCGTAAACCGCGCGAGGGTCGGTGAGTTTATTTGAAAAAGGATGACCCTCCCGAGAGTAAGACGCGTTGGAGGCCGTAACCGGTGATGGGGTTTGTATACTTCTCGAAATAAAAGAGAAAGAGAGAGGAGAGGCTGCACACGGACCAGCGTCTTTTGGGAGAGTTTTGATACTGCGATCATTGGTTGGAAAATCGAGATGTTTTTATTGTACGTGACCAATTTGATACAGCGGAATTACAATGAATTTTAATCGCTTAGCAGTATGCGAAATAGTATGTGACATCGAGAGAAAAAAGCGGTCGAGTGAACAAATCTTGCCGCATGAATGAGCAAAATTCGTACAAACAAATGTTGAGTCAACCGAACGGATGATGTAATATTATTTACAATGCGCATCATTACGTGATTGCAATTATCTAATTGTAACAACAAGCGCATTTTGCGCAATTTACAAATTATTACAGTACCGTAAATGATTCAAGTAACAAATTAACTGATTCAGTGATTACGATTAGTCGAGCACCGCATCATCATGTTTATTATGATGCAATTCGTGTTTTCACAAAGCAATTACGTGTTATCTTAACACGTTATTATACCCATCGGATATAACATTTTTTCAACGAGAATCTATTTGAATCAGCTGTTCTTTTTTCTTTGTGCATGTACACTCGTGACCAAATAGATTGTCCGTTTCTTGTTTTTGCGAATTCTAAAACGCATACGTCTGCACCAGACCTATGCGTTGTAAAATTCACAGAAAAAATAGCAGACAATTTCTCTGGCCGCGAGTGTAATTTTTGGCAAACAAATAGAATAAAAAACAACATCGCGATTTGATGTATAGCCTTTGCTAACAGACCGACATTACTTATTAAAATTCGTCGTGGCGTATATATCTGGCGTCATATCATCTATTTTAGATAGATAATGGCAATAACAAGTATAAAAGACATTCGCTCGACATGCCGCAACAAACACCGATTAGCACATTGAGAAACGAGACTAGTCCCTAATAAGATACTCACGTTACGCTTCGTCGATCGTTATTTTGACACACACCCGATACTTATTTACGCGTGAGACTCACTTTCGACAGACAAGGGACGCGTGAAACGCGGAACGATGTCGATCGATGCGTTAATGGTGGTGGCTCGATGCGAAAAGATCGAAGATGTTCGCGCAACGCATAACGGACGCCGTGAATACGCGCCGAAATGTGAACGTTGTTGCGGTACGACGAGGACACCCTCAAGTAGATATATCCCTCTCTCTCTTATCAACAAGCTGACTCTACCGTCCGTGATTCGGCGTCGCGCATATTCCTCTCGTCGTCCTTCTCTTTTTCCCTCTGATCATCATTAAATTTCTTATTCCCGATTAATGAATTCGACAATCGTCCGGCTCTGTTACCATTTGAACGAATCGAAGACAGTAGTGAGAGTGACAGACGCCGACTCGACACGTCGCGACAGGTACCGATTTGTATGTTACGAGAAAAGAGGAGATTACTCCCTAATACTCACGTTATATACGTCCCTTCAATCGCACATCGCTATTTCGGCACTCTCGATACTTATTTACACGCGAGACTCATTTTCGATAGACAAAAGATACGTAAAATGCGGAGCGATGTCGATCGATGCGTTAATGGCGGTGGCTCGATGCGAAAAGGTCGAAGATGTCCGCGCAATGCACGACGGACGCCGCGAATACACGTCAAAAACATGAACAGTGTCGCGATCCGACAAGGACGCTCTCAAATGGTATACCCTTCTCTCTCTTACCAACAAGCCGACTCTACTACTCGAGATTCGCGAATATACCCAGCGTCGTCCTTCTTTTTCGCTGGTTATCATCAAATTTCTTATTCTCGATTAATGAATTCGATAATCGTCCGGCTCTATTACTATTTGAACGAATCGAAGTAGTAAAAATGATAGGCGCCGACTCAACATGTCGCGACAGGTACCAATTTGTATGTTACGAGAAAAGAGAACATTACTCCTTAATAAGATACTCACGTCCCTTCAATCGCACATCGCTATTTCGACACTCCCGATACTTATTTACACGCGAGACTCATTTTCGACAGACAAGATATGTAAAATACAGAGTGATGTCGATTGATGCGTTAATGATAATGGCTCGATACGAATAGGTCGAAGATCCCGCGAAATGCACGTCGGACGCCGCGAATATACGTCAATAACATGAATAGTGTCGCGATCCGACAAGGACGCTCTCAAGTGATGTACCCTTCTCTCTCTTACCAACAAGCCGACTCTACTACTCGAGATTCGCGAATATATCCAGCGTCGTCCTTCTTTTTCGCTGATTATCAACAAATTTCTAACTCGTGATTGATAAATTCAACAATCGCCCGACTCTACTACTGCTCGGACGAAGCGAACAAAATAACGAGAATGACAGGCTTGACACTCGCGAAAAGCACTGGTTGTATACAACGAGAGATGAAGAGATCACTACCTAATAAGGTACTTACGTCTCGACGATCGCACATCGCTATATTCGGTACTCTCGATACTTATTTAGTCACTTTCGACAGATAAAAGATACGTAAAAGACACGGAGCGATGTCGATCGATATGTCAATGCCACAACGGTGGCGTGATGCGAGAAGATAGAAGATGCTCCGCGCGGTGCATGACGGGCGTCGAAAGTTCGTCTCACTCACTCACTCATGTACACTCGGGTTAGAATCCACTTGAAACTTCGAAGAGCGTAAAAGACGTCTGTGATTGGTCGAAGAATCAACAAACATGAAAAACGCATAACTAGATGCGGATGCGGCGAAACGTTTACTATAGATCTATCGATAGTGCGCGACGTAGCGAGAAGTCGCTACGCGAGGACTGACTGTACCTTACCAATTATGCGGGCATCTTCGATCTTTTTGCATCGAGCAACCGCCATTAACACATCGATCGACATCGCTTCGCGTTTTACGCGTCTTTTGTCTGCCAAAAGTGAATCTCGTGCGGAAATAAGTATCAGCAGTGCCAAAAATAGCGATGTGCGATCGACGGGACACAACGTGAGTACCTTATTGGCGGGCAATCTTGTCGATGGCGTTTCTCATTGCCGTCGTCGTTCTTTCTTCAATCGCGTGTCGATCTCGATTTTCCGAACATCTCCATCGGGAGCATCTCCGATTAAACTTGAAATAAACGATCGCGCCCCGTAAGCTCTCATCTCTCGAGTAATTGTGTACACGGGACTCGCAATTACGGACCTATCGTTAACACCGTGACAATATTTACGCTGGTTTACAACGCAGATATGGATGCGCGCTATCAATCCTCAGGAACCCCGACATGACGGGCGAACATTCGTTGTCGCTCATCCTCGTTGACGAGGAAGAGATATGTATTATGTAACGATGTAAAGTAAAAATACTAATGTTTAGAGATATATCTAACTTTGGACATTCTTACTGTGTTGGTCTTTAAATGTCAATATTTGAGTCTTCAATCTAGAATATATGCTTGTATCGAATATATACATATAGTCGCTCACACATATACATCACGTGAAGAGAGCTTTCGACGTCACATATTGTATCCTGGTTGACGAGATAGAGATTACATAACAAGTAAGATAAAAGTACCAATACGTATCTAATTTTGTACATACTTGGTCGTTAAATATTTGTATTTAAGGCTCCTATAAGGTTGAAATATTTTGTAAATTCCTCTTTTGCTTTAATAATCAATAATTTGTTGTAAGTTAACATACAATTCATCTTTTTAACCTATTTCTTCACATTCAGATTAATTTATAATAAATTATTGTAATTTGATTGCTACAGCAAAACGGGATTAATCGATTGCAAATGTTACTTTATGGATATATATTTTTATTTTAATGTATTCTGCAAGAATTTTTAGCATATACTTTCTCGTTTCTAATGTCATTAAAAAGAGATAGACAATGCGAGAGGCCAGGAACCTTAATTGTATTATATTTAATTATATTGGGTTGATCTTTAAATAGAAATATATTTAAACAACACAACACAATTAAATATAATACAATTAATTTACATGATACATTGCAATACAAATTTAAACATTCGTATTTAAAGACTAAAACAATAAAAATATTTGTAGCTAGATACTGTGGTACTTTGTCTTACTTTAAACATTGTCACACTAATATATCTCTTTCTCACTAGCAAGGCTCACGATATACGACGTCGAAGAACTCTCCTTACATATATTGCAAACGTCGTCGTCGTCGTCGTCGTCGTCTCCTGAAGATTGATAGCATGCATCCATACATGCATGTAACCATGTGTATAAGAGTGTGTATCTTAGAGTAACGTGAATATAGCCATTGTGTTAATATCAAATCCATAATTTTGGGGCCAAATATTGATAAATATTTGAAGATCAAAATGATAAGAATGTCCAAAGTTAGGTACAATCACAGGTTTTGGTACTTTTGTCTTAGGTGACAGGATAGCAAACGTGTACTAGCATGCACCTAATGATGGAAATTAATTATGTCAAGATTAATAACAATACTATTAAAAATTAATCTAGCTAAATTTTAATTTTGTTATTTTTAAAATTACCTTTTAATGGATTATGTTCATCGAAGCTTGTTCATTAATTAGATTATTGCATACTGTCAAGTTCCTTTCTCACCTCATACTGCTTAGTTGATTAGATTGGGTTCAATTTTTATAGTCAAGGTATATTACGTTGATACTACGTTGTTCATCGCAACTGGATAAGCTGTCGTTGTCATAAATCGCAGATTTTTGCATATGTAGCTGGAGTACACAGCGAAACAAATTCTGAAAACAAGATTGCCACGTATATCGTGTGAGCAAAAAACTTGCTGTCAGGAGATTTATATTCGTTTGGGTGAAGTGTTGCGTTCGTGTTTACGAGCGTTCGATGTAGCGACGTTCTCGTAGGAGGCGAAATAAATGATCGGATCGAGGGAAGGGTCGATATATGGAAGGCATCGCGCCAATATCGGGCTCCTACGTGTAGAATACTTAAGTTAATGCGCGATTTAATCCTCGATCTAATAAATAACACCTCACACGCGCGATTTAATCTTCGTCTAACGCCTAGAAGGGCAATAAAAGACAGCTAACATGTCTCGCGTACGAACCTAACCTAGTAAACTGCGGTTCCGGGTGCGATCGATCACGCAGTTAATATTCGAAACATTTACACTCGCAATGAAAAACATACTCGCGTCACACGATATTGCTGTATACACAGAGAATACGGTATTGTGAGTCGCAATTTCGCGGTGAGCTTTTAGGATCTCATCGAAAAGTCCGAGGCGGACGCGAGTACACGGCTCGAATCAAGTGCAAGTCAGACGTGAATAAAAGCATTTCGAGGCATTCCCACAGCGTCCAATGAATTCACTCGTGTAAGTTTCGCTATCATAGATCGCCGGGAAAAGAACACATCGAGGAAACATTTGACCGGGGAAAGTCGCGCGCGCGAATCGGCAGAGTTCCACTCGTCGTCACGTAGCCGTACCTGCGAGCAGGCAAGTCACGTGACCAGCGGAACTAGCCGAGCGCAGCCGAAGGTCGTGCCGAACGCGTACGCGGCGCTCCCCGCCACAGTTCGAGATCGGCCAGCGCGACGCTGTGACGTGTTCGCAGACTGTCGGTAGTAAAGTTGTTCGAATGCGTCGTTTCGTCTAATACATTCTATCGTTGATCTTACGCGGGACAACGACGCGATCGCGAGTGGTGTCAGTGATCGGAGGTACGTAACGTGCGTCGTCCAGAGGGAAAAACGGAGGCCGGTGTGTGACGAAAAGAAAGAGAGAAAGAGAGAGAGAGAGACTGTCGTCGTTGACGAGGAGAGTGGGCAGAGACAGGTGATCACGATGGCAGCCTGCGAGCGTCTTATCGTTCCGATCGCCGTCCTGGTGTTGCAACTAACAGGTACACACGAAAATATTCGACGCGTGATAACGCGCCACTGCGCCACGGGAATTCGTTTCCCTCGAAGGAATCTCGCGCGTGGTTTCCCACGGGACCGCTCGCGTGATACCGTTCGCCGCGGTTACCTCGGCGTGGAAAGTGATAGAAAGAGAGAGATCGTGAGAAAGAGAGAGAGAGAGAAGCGTATAAGCTGGCTCGCGAGTACACTCAGCAGGTGGTTAACCAACGCTGCACCGTTGTAGAATTCGACGTGAGAGATTTTTGACGCCAACAGCCGCTATGATTATTATACACGAAATTTGAATTCGGATTCAAAACGGTGAACGTCTGGCGTCATGCAGCGACGCGGGAATTTGAATTTAAAATGGCGCGCATCTGTCGTTGCAGCGTTATATTATGATGCGTTTGAATTTAAAACATCCGCCAATCGTGGCCGTTTTTTTGCCGCCAATTCGGGATTCCTTCCGTGATCGTACTTTTTGTACTTGAAATTTTTCTCGTCCTTTCCGAATCATTTAACCGAATATCGATAATTATGATCGCTTCATTGCAAGTACAGATAAAGTGCGTACGTAACGTAATACACACGAGTTTTACGGTTTTACGCACTCTCCCTCGCTTTTGTTCTGGCGAGGGCGATACACGTCCTGTTCCCCGTACGATCATTCGGCCGACGCGGTTTCCTGCATATCCAGCTTGTCGCACCTGATGATCTTCCTCGATGGCAATCCGCGCATAACGTTCACTTGAACGGATTCGAACACACGGTAGTATGCATGAATTTATCGGCATTGAATCATTAGCAGTGTAGTAAATTCGTGATAAGTATGAATCATATCGAGAAACTCGATACTAGAAATATTACGAATAACTCAAGGAAACTCTATACCTAGAAAAAATATCTTCTGTTCAGAACAGCGATTACTCAGCTTACTTCCTTTTTCAAGTAGCGGTTATCTTCAATAAAAAATATTTCCCTGATAATGTTCTATATAAATTGAATGCTTGATAAAATTTTATGTAACTGATAATACTTGATAAAACTCTACTCAAGGAGCAAACTGAATTCTTGCATTAATTGAATATTCTTGATTGAAATACTAAACTTATTAGGACTCGGGATGTATTTTAAATAAATTTCATATTTATGATGAACTTTATGATAAATTTGCAGATATATATACTTATGAAATATTTGAGACAAGTACTATATACTTGAATGCAGTGTATATTTTTCTATGTAGTAGTTTGAACGTATTATTATATTTATTTATAACGTCAATTTCAGATCTTATGTTTTAAATGTATTACCGCACTTAATCAAATGTGTTTGGAATCTTTTTTATCAATAAGGCAAGATATTGTATATTTTTCGCGCTTTGTTTTGAAATAATTTAAATAATGTACCAGATTCACGGGCAAGATTTACGCAGATTTTAGTTTCTAGCAGTAGAACTTCACTTTTAGCACTGCTTTCTCCTTTTGCACGCAATTTTTGTCGTAATTTTTCTTTGGAGAGATCAGTTTCGAAAATAAAAATTCGCGATATAATGAAAGTATTAAATTAATGATTAACCGTCTGGACAGTAATTTCGCTATACTTTTTGACAGAATGACAATCGTGATTATCTGTTCGCTGATTCTTCGCAATAATATCCGTCGCGATTTTTTTCATGATTTTTTTATGAAGTAACGATCGCGATCGCTCTTCACTTCTTTGTTCACCTCCCTCACATCCGCAAACGAGAATAACCTTGAAGGTAATTCGCACTGCTTTCAACGAAAACATAATCGAGGAATACCAAATGCCGTCACAGCTGTGCAAATGCTAATTTCGTGCATTTGTTAAAAGCTTCTAAGAGTAATTCTCGCTAATATGAACGAAAGGAATATCGAATCTAGTCGACCTTCGCGAGCCAATGGAAAAGTTACTCGCGAATCAGGGCCGTCCTATTGTGTCCATCGAATACTTTTCTCGAAATTGCTGGCTCGACCTCGGACCCGTCTTCGTGAATACCTGCGCGAATCTCGCACAATTTACAAGGAGGGAGTCTGGCCACCTCTATCCGAAGCTCTCCCTTTTCTCCTCGAGCGTTCTCCCTTTCGTTTCGATCGTCCATTTATGATCCGGCTCTTCGCGAGGCCGTCGTCGAGCTATGCGTCTTTCTCTTTCTTTCTTTTTTTCCAGTCTTCTCTCGTTCCTTCTTACCTCGGTCCGGTTCAGTCGAGTTGCTGCCTCGAAACACGGTCGTCGCCCTTTTTCTTCTTTTTCTTTCTCTTCCGTTCCCTCTTCCTCTCCTTTTCTCTTCTCTCCTTGTCCCTTCGCCTCACGAGCGCCGTCGCTTCGCTCACGGATTGTAACTTATAAACGTGCGTGCGAAAAAAGAGAGATACGATGAGAGGAGGAGTGATAGAAAAGTACCGTTCGCTCTAGAACGTTTCACTTTCCAACTTCGCGCCGTGCTCGCATGACGCCTGTACTCTTTTCTAGATGTGTTATTTCCCTTTCTACGGTGGAAATTAGGTGGCAACTGCGAGTCTGAACTTAATCGCGCAATGTTCTAGCGAATTGTGCAACATAACGGTTGGCATTGATTATTTCGAAAGGGTATGTAGTGTGATATCGCTCATTTTTTCCGTACTCTCTTTCGCTACTCTCTTTCTTCTAGATACTAACGACGACGAAAGTGATATTCCGGAAAATATTCTCTTCGCGATAAGTCATTTTTTCTTTTAATTTTTCCCGGCTGAATATTATGCAGTTTGTTTTGAGGCCTTTCCGCGTTGGAAAATTTCCATTGAAACAATATGAAATCATAATACTTATTTCTTTTAAATTTCAAAAGAAAATATTAAAGAAACAGAATATTAAAGACAAATATTAAAAGACGTTAAAGTAATGAAATTTCAATGACATTTTTATCGCCTTAACTAAACTTCCCGTGAAAAGAACTTTCTACAACAGTCATCATACAATGGGTTTTAAAGATGTGCGCGTTTTTTTATGTCGGAAAAATTTAAATTAATACTATAGAGTTGAGAATTACATATTTGCTTTGGGGTCACACAATGTAGCAACGTATGCAATGAACAAACAGCTCCGAATGAAAAACGGACAAGATGTCGATCGCCTCATACATAATGTAACAAAGAATCATAAAATATCTCGAGCGAAAATAAAAATAAAAAAGATATCGCAACGGTTAAAAAATATTGGTTTCTTCTCCGTTTTCGTCGTAAATTGCGACAAAACGCTCTCGCTTGCGAGTCTTTCTTGAACGGCGATGAATCGTCATCTTTCCTCTCCCTCTTATCCTTTTCTCTCTTTTTTTCGTGCCATCTCATTGTCACGGTCTGACCGACGCGCGTACAAATTATAGTAGTTGACGTTACGTCTGCGTAATTGTATGGATCTCCGTCATGTCAGCCGGGTGAGCTCGTCGCGTGAACCTCTTGGGAAATATTCCCCAGCTACATCTCCAAGACTATGCCCGACGCGATGGATGCGCGTGTCTACGGAAACTCTGATCATTCGTCACTGTTAGACTCTTCGGAATAGCAATGCGAAAAATTTGGTTCATCGAATTCCTAAGAATTAACCAAGCTCATCGAGGCAAATAATGACGATGTAGTTTACTTATAAATAGACAACGTTTATCACATGGAAATTTTTTGCTATAATATTTCTTCTTAACGAGTTTTCGTTATAACACTCATTCATCATGCAGGGTATCATCTTTGACATGTGTACGCGACTATTTTTTAAAAAACCTTTAAGATACGGGCGCTTTCAATTGTCGAAATTAGATATTCCACGCGATTAGATACCGGATGACGGCCGATCGCATTTCCTTTCCACGCTTTTTGCAATTTCTCAAGAGCGCGCGATATGAATGTTAAAGTCAAATGAGGGCGC